ACACGGTTCAGTTGGATGGTGATTTGACTTATGATGTGGAGCCAGCAGCTATTTTGGAGCACCAGGTTCGAAAGTTGAGATAAAAGGATATAGCTTTAGTGAAGGTGTAGTGGAGAGGTCAGCCCGTGGAGGAGGCTACCTGGGAGACCGATCTGGAGATACGGGGCAGATATCCTCACCTGTTTGAGGCTTAGGTATGTTTCTTGACTCGTCCGAGGACGAACGTTTGTTTAAGAGGGGGAGGATGTGACGACCCGGCCAGTCGTCTCATGAGTTGCTTCTCTGTTTCCCCTATTTCTGCTTCTTATTACTTTGTCTATTGGTTCTATATGTGATCGAGTTGGTTGGCTCGGGTTCGTAAAGGATTTGATAAGGTTTGAGACACTTAGTCTTTTAAGGAAGTTTAAGTTGGAAAAGTCAACTGGATGTTGACTTATGTGTTAGAGGGATCGGATGTGTGTTTCGATGGTTCAAATAGTTTCAGAGGTGATTTGGGACTTAGGAACGTGATTGGAATGCGATTTGGAGATCCGGAGTAGATTTAGGCTTGAATTGGCGAAATTGGATTTTTTGGCAATTTCTGGTTGGTAGGTGAGATTTTTGATATAGGGGTTGGAATGGAATTCCGAGAGTTGTAGTAGTTCCATTGTGTCGTTTGGGATGTGTGTGCAAAATTTCAGGTCATTCGGATGTGGTTTGGTTGGGTCTTTGATCAAAAGCGTAATTTAGAAGATTTTAGAATTTTAGGCTTGAATCTGGTGCGAATTTGGTGTTTTGATGTTGTTTTGAGAGTTCCGAAGGTTGGAACAAGTTTGAATGAGGTTATGGGATATATTGGCATGTTTGGTTGAGGTCTCGGGGACCTCGGGTGAGTTTCAGGTGGTCAATCGGACCATTTCATGTAGTTTGGAATTGCAGAAAAAACTGCTGTGTGTTGCAAAGGAATTAGACCTTCGCGTTCGTGAAGGGCTGAGTGATTGGGCATCACGTTCGCAGGGGAGGCTCCGCGTTCGCATAGAGTAAATTGGTCAGCTGGGTTTGAGGTCGAGTTGTTTATCGCGTTCGCGATAGAGAGGGTGCGTTCGCGAAGAGTTGTCTGAGGAAGCATCGCGAAGAGGAAAATTTGGTCAAAGTTGATTTGTGCTTCGTGAACGCGAGGCGTTGACCGCGTTCGCGAAAAAGGAAATGAGGCCTGGGCAGAATGTTTAATAGTCGTCTTGTCCGCGATTTTGGAGTTTATTTCCATCATTTTTGAGCGTTTTTGGAGCTTTTTGAAGAGGATTGAAAAGGGATTCAAGGGGAATCACTTGGAGGTAAGATTCATGGACTTAAAACTCGATTCTAATGTAAAATCTACCTAATTAATCATGGAAATTAAGCCTAAAATTGAAGAACTAGGGCTTGAAATTAGAGACCTAGAGTTTGGGATTTGAGGGGTCATTTGTGGTTGGATTTGATGCTTTTGGTATGAATGAACTTGGGGAGTGATAAGGAATCCATTGATGTGATTTTTACCGGAATCCGAGACGTGGGCCCGGGGGTCGGGTTTTGGTAATTTCGGAATTTATGTTGTAAATTGAATATTTTTGCTTGGGCTTCGTTTCCTTAGCATATTTTGACGTCGTGATTCTGATTTTGGATAGATTCGACGCGATTGGAGGCCGATTCGAGGGGCAAAGGCATCGCGGGCTAGATTTGGATCGGATTGCGGTGAGTAATAATCGTAAATGATGTCCTGAGGGTATGAAACCCCGGATTTCACATCGTTGTTCTATAATGAGGTGACATACATGCTAGATGACGAACGTGGGGTCGTGCACTGTTGGGGATTGTGACTTAGTCCGTCCCGAATGAGTATTTTATCGCGTATTTGACTGAAAACTATTTGCTATCATCATGTTTTGGGTTGAATGCCATATTTGGGCCTCGTGCCAACTATTTCAACCCTTAGGGGAGTTTTATTGATATTTCCTCACTGTTTTGACTTTATACTTGAACTCAGTCATGCTATATTCCACTGTTTTCATAACTCAACCATGTTTACTCTTTTTAACACTTAAATGATATTTTAACTGATATTTTGGGTTGAGCACCATGTTTTACTGTTGCCCGAGTGGCTTGTGAGATTCTGACTGAGTAAGGCCGATGGCCTATGTTTGGAGGAAACACTGAATATGATTATGAGGCCGAGGGCCTAAGATTTGTACGTCACGAGGTGGCTTGTTGATATAAGGCTGAGAGCCTAGTGATGATGCCACGAGATGGCTTGATATTGCGCTTGGGCCATAAGGGGTCCCTCTAGGAGTCTGCATACCCCCAGTGAGCGCAGATACCCATTGTGATGTGAGATATAGCCCGAGGGGCGAACCTTTATGTGTTTATCTTTCTTATTGCCTGCCATTTACCTGCTTAATTGTTGAAAAGGCATTTCATGAAGTTTAACTGAACTAAAATGATTTTTTTTACATATCTTTACTGCTTCATTATAGCCTGTAATGTGCCTTACGTGATTTCTTGCTTTCAGTCTTTATTTATGATTATTGCTCACTGAGTTGGAGTACTCACTTTACTCCGTGCACCCCGTGTGTAGATTCAGGCGTTGCTAATCCTGCTAGCGAGAGTTGAGAGCTCCCGACAGACTTCGGAGTTCACGAGGTAGCTGCTTGGCGTCCACAGTCCCGTGTTTCTCCCCCTTATCTCATTTCTATCTCTTTTTTGTTATTCTGTAATAACTTGGTAGGCATTTCAGACTTGTAGTGTATTGATAGATGCTCATGACTGGTGACACCCGGTATCGGGCTGTGTTGGGTTTTATTTCTGTAAACCGTAATGTTCACTGCTTATCATTTTGGGATTTATTATTATGATGTTTAAGACTTAATGCTTATTATTTTAAATTGCTTAAAAATTTAAATGGGAATGTGTCGGCTGGCCTTGTCTTTACGAGAGGCGCCATCACGACCGGGTCCGGGTTTAGGGTCGTGAAAATTAGGTTATCACTACAACACTACCTCGTAACCAATACTCCATATTCCCTAAAAATAGGTACTAGCAGTAGTTGGCATGAAAATTCTTCCATTGTCTCTTTTTGATTCTCCATTTTGATATACTTAAAGTAGGATACTGTATTCTAAGAAACAATGGTGAATGTATTAATTGTGGTTCAATACAATAGAGTTTGGCAAGACAATCGGAGATATGTTAAATTTGAAGCCGAAGGGATTTTGATCAATTCGAGCTGCAATTTTGAAGAGTTGGTCACCACAATATTGAAGCAGATCAAAGGTGAGACTTGTACAAAGTTGATTGAAATTAAGTACATCGTTCAAGAAGGGTATCCACCAATTTCCATATCAAATGATATGAGTGTACAATTGCATATAGATTTAAAGATGAAAAAGACAGAGATCACTCCGTATCCGCTATGCATAACATTCAAGGACATTGCAGTCGACAGAGAATGCATGAAAGCAGTCAGTTCTGCGACATCATCACATCACGTAAATGATTTAAATTAAATATACCAGATTTGCTAGAAAATGGAGCAATAGGGCTGATATGTAATGAGCAAGACTTCGACATACGGTATAGATGAAGCTCAACATCGTATAATTCGATACCCGTCAAATCAAAACATCGAAGAAGGTCAGTTAAACCAAGACAAAGAAACCTTTATAAGTGTTGTGAAACGCTGCGTAATTCGGGAGAATTTTCAATTTAGAGTTCATAGTCCCTGTACCAAAAGGTATATTTAATATTGTTATATAAATTTGTTCCTTGCAACACTGAAATATGTTAAAACATTTATATAGTATGTTGAAGATATGTACGCGTGTATTATTTAGATAGAGATAGTAGAAAAGTATTACATGTTAAGTTACTGTATATAATATATTGCATATAGGTATAAAATATAATATTTTCATATTCAATATATCATATATTTCTTTCAACAGGTATTGCCTCATATGCATAGACAACATGTGTACTCGGAATTTTGTATCTTTCACACTGAACAAAACAAAGATATTCAAAGTTAGGAAGTTCAATAATGTTCACAATTGTGGGGTTGAAGAATGAATGTATACACAACATCACGGTACATCTGATTTCATAGGATATCTTATACAAGATAAGTATGTTGTCCGAAGACTGTGTATACTTCATCAGATGTAAGGCGTGACATGAAAAAAATTCATGATTTCGACGTGAATTATATGAAAGCTTGGAGATTGAAGGAAAAGGCGCTTGAAATGGTCTTATGGAGATACGAGACATTGACTCTCACTGGCAACTTATGGTTTCAACGATGGTATTAGAGGGGTAAATTTACGGTTAGAAACATGGTTTGAATTGTAAATATGATATTTGTGGTTCGAGATCAAGCGGGTATTGATGGGTAAAGTCGGAAACACTTTGGAGGATCTAAAGGGAAGTTTGAGCTCTATTAAAGCTGATTCGATGATTTTTGGCAAAAATTCAGAGCCAAATTTGAAGCAGATGGCGAACAGGAGGAAGAAGACAAATTGTGTATATCGCCTTGTATATATCTCTCCCCTGCATATCTCCGTGTATATATGTGTATCTCTATGTATCCCATGTGTTTTCCATATATATCTAAATACATTCATGTATACTTGTGTGTGATACACATGAATATACAATGATATACATATAATATACATTACCCTTGGGCCATTTGTAGAGGCCCAACCTGACACAATGTAGTTGGATTTGACTTAAGTCATACATTTTTTGCATAGTAGATAATTAATTCGATTTTATTAACCCATAATAGGAGTTGACTTAGTCAGTAAGACCTCATTTGTTTGTACTTAATGGAGGTCTGAATCTTAATCATTCAGATTTAGCCCATTAAATACATTTATTTTTAAAATCTTAACCCTAATTATTCAGATCCAGCCCATTAAGTCTATTTATTTTTTCTCTATTAAAAGGTCTGACAGAAGGTCTGACAGGATCTTATTCGGTCAGATCCATTAAAAAGTCCTACCAGCGTTCAGACTCTTTGAAAACAAACCGATACGACTTTATTTCCGCAAAGATTCGCTCAACGACTGCTTTATTTTAGCAAAGTTTCACGCTGTGCTTCTTCATCTTCTGTGCATAAATTTCACGCCTCTGTCTCACTCTCCATCTATCATCATCTACTCAAATTTGTTTTCTCTTCAACTGGTAAGTTCTAAAACCTTTAGAATTTCTTCTTATTATTTTATGAGATTCGCAATACGCTTGCCTATTATTTTGTGATATACTTGTTTGAGTTTCAAGATTTCAATTCTATTCTCTAATAGTTGGTTCTACAGTGAAAAATTAGAAAGTTTTACAAAACTTTTGAGGTTTATCTCTGGATTGTCTTAGCAAAGGGGTTTTCGATTTTTCCAGAAAGTGAATTTTTAACCCAAGCATTAATAGGTATCATAATATGAGCATTATATCTCTGGTTTCATGATTCTACCAAGTGACGTAGGCTTCGATTATCTTAGGGCACATCGAATTAATGACTCAGTTTCATGTGCGACTCTTGTCCTTCTTCTATTTCACTAATTTGTTATGAACGGGGGCTATTAGATTTTCGAAAAAATATATCCTGTACCACATATAGATTTGATGTTAATTGTAGCATATCTTCCTCTTTTTCTCACTTTGGGGAATTGTTCAATACTTTTGAACAACAACCTAGTCGATAGTGAGCAAAACGCCGATGTAAAAGTTTTACTTTTTTATTATATTAAAGAACTTATAAACTTTCTTCTCGCCCTCATCTCATGAGCGTTTTTTTTACTAAACTTTGTATTCCTCTTCGTGAAGTGACAATTTGAAACTCATATGTGTCGGTGAGTCGGCAATATCACATCGAACTTGAGCATTAGTATTTGAACTTTAGTCGGAGCTTAGACCTTAGTAGCTCTCTCGTTTTGTGTCTTATGTGTAAAAAGGCTCTCATTATATCCCTTTTGCAGATACACCTTCATACATTGATTACTTTTGGAATTTAGGATAATATAAAGTATGGGATCTGCAACTAATCTGATTTGAGTTTATAGCCAATAGCATAAAATAGAACCTAAAAGTGTTGTCAATAAAATGAGCACATGCATGCTGGCACTAAGCATAGCATAATAACAATAACGATACTTAATTCTAGCTTGCTGCCTAGGCTAACTTATTTTTGCAAACTCTATTTCTTTGTCTTATCACTTATGTCATTCGGTTTTCATGTGTTGAATAATAAAATGATGAGCTTTTTAATGAAATCTGCATGAAACAGTGATATTCTCTTTCACCTGGACTTCTCATTTTATCTTGTTTAATTATAGAGAAACAAAATTTCATTGCTTTGGCCTTTTGGATGTTGAAAATTATCTGTAACCAATTTAACTAATGGGGAGTACATAGATCTCCTTTCTATGTTTTCACAACAGAACACATTATGATAGATGCTTTTTAGCTAAGGTATAACATAACTACAAGGAAAAAGGTTAGCTCTGTGTGATAGCTTATCAGTCTCATCCTTCAGCGAGCTGCATATCCCAATTTTGCATTCAAAACTATCTCTTACCTTTTTTCCAAAGCATAATCAATTATACAGACTGTTGTTTGTTGAGCAGACAACATTAATGGTAAATGGTTCTTGGCTAATGAATACGGATATGAATGTGATCATGATAGTACATGTTACTGTAATTCGGTCTTAAAGTTATGTATGTGTTCTTTTTCAACTCTCCACTATCTTGGTGCGACACGAAAGAAGCAGTGACATATATATTGAACAGTGTCATATTCGGGTTGGGTCCCAAACGACAAAACTGGTTTTGGTGTTACTCCATGAGATTATAGAGTTGGTATTAGGCTATAGTCATAATCATAAGCAAACAGCAGTAGGCTGAAAAAAGTTACATGTCAAGTGATGCTTTCCAGGACCTAACTGGGGGCATATAAGATTAAACATCTAATTGTTGGAAAGACTGGGTTTGTTGGGGATTGTTTTCATTGATTGTCTCGGTTTTGTTACTTTTATTTTCATCAGCCATTTTCTATAATCATTATTATTTTATATTTCAGCTATGGAACAATCTAGTGAAAATTCAAGAGCTAGTTGGAAAAATATGGATGTAGTAAAAACCTTTTTAAAAAGTTGTATTCAAGAAATATCCTTAAACGGGAGACTTGGAAGTAGTTTAAAGGCAGATTCATGGAACAAAGTTAAACTAATTTTGGAGTCTTCTCGTGGCTTTAGCGTTACACAAAAGCAGATGAAGAATCATTATGATTATCTAAAAGAAAAGCATCAAGCTTGGTTGCCAATAACCAAAAAGACTGGCAATATTTATGACCCAGCAACCAATACCATTCTAATGTCTAATAGTGAGTGGGATGAGTACATAAAGGTTAGTTCATTATCTAGAGTTTTAACTTTTTCTTTTCTTTTTTCTATAAAGAAAAAAGTTTGGCGTGTATATTAAAAGTCTCTTTATTATAGGCTCATCCAAAAGCAAAGGCATTGAGGATTTCGCCTCTACCCTTCCCAGATCTTTGTACAAAACTTTTTGAGGGTTCTTCAGCAACAGGAATTCATGGTTGGAGTCCAAGCTGTACATATCCCCGACCTGGTGTCTCTTTTGTATCTACTACTATAGATGTAGATACACTTGATAGCGTCGAAGATCTAGTTGGTAATAAGAATGATGGAGCTCCTACCGATTATTCATCTCAGTCTTCAGTTCCAATTGAAAAGAAACCTTTGGGAAAGAAAAGAAAACCGCATCGTCTCAATTGGACATTGAAGAGAAGATGAGTATTGCATTAGAGTTATTGGTTAAAAAAAATAGCGGGTCTGACGTTGAAGAGTGTATGAAAAAATTAGAAGAACTTGGATGGGAAGAAACATTATACAGTGCAACTGTTAGTATACTTTGTGAAGGTGACAACTACAGGAAAGCATGGATGAACATTACCAAGGTCGACAAATTAGAGAATTGGATTAAGGCCATGGGAAAAAAATGGGGCTTCTTTGATTTTGTTAATTAGCTAGATTATTAATTAGACGTTAATAATATGGAACCTTCTTTGTTTTTTTCAACTATTATCTATTATGCTTATTTAATTTTTTAATATTATATTATGCTCGTGGAACATTTTTAATTTGTGATATACCTTTTTTAAATGTCTTATTTGAAGTATGTTTGATGTGTATTGTGTTGTTTTACTAATTAATTTATTTTTATTATGTAACTTTTTATATTTTTCAAATACATAGTATGTTATGCTTACTATTGTGTATTATACATTCTATTTGTTACAACAGTTTAAACATGGATATTGAGGATCAAGTATTAGCGTTGATGAGCTTGTATTGGTGTAAAAATTATTTTAGACTCAAGAATATCCAAAGAAATAAAGATTTAACATCATCTTTATCTGGTGAAAAGTACACACAAGAATTGTTGTCCGGCTCTAGTCGACAATGTTTAGAACTGATGCGCATGTCCCGATGCATATGTTCAGCTATGTCAACATTTTAGACATAAAGGATGGCTCATAGATAGCAAACATATTTCTGTCGAAGAAAAGATAGCAATATTTCTTACTATTATAGGTCATAATGAGCGTTTTATGGTTATGAAGAGGAGATTTCAACATTCTTCGCAAACGGGTCACAAATATTTTCATGAGGTTCTTGAAGCAATGATGTTATTTGCGAAAGAGATGATATCATCTACAACATCTGATTCAAATCCACATATTCTTCGTGCTCATAAAAAGTTACGAAAAGTTTTTAAGGTATTATGTTCTATAAAATTATCATATAACTTCGTAAGAAAAAAATTCATAACTATTAACATAAAATTATTATTTTTATTTGCAGGGAGCAATAGGTGCACTCGACGGGACATTAGTACATGCAGTTATTCCAGCTAATCAACAAATTGTTCACAGAGGAAGAGGAAAGGGTAAATGCTATCAGAATGTTTTAGCTATATGTGATTTTAACATGGTCTTCAATTATGTTTATGCTGGATGGGAAGGGGTAGCACATGATGCGCGTGTTCTAACATAGATCACGTCTAATCCAGATAATGGATTTCCATTTCCTCCTTCTAGTAAGTGATACAACTTATTAAACTATTCTGAAATAATAAATTAAATGTTTATTATATTCATTTAACCTTTTTTTAATGATAGATAAGTACTATTTATATGATGCGGCGTATCCTAATACTCGAGGATTTCTAGCACCATATCGTAATATTCGATATTGGTTAGGATATTATCATCGTAGACATGCCATAAATAAGGAGGAAAAGTTTAACCATGCTCATGCACAACTTAGAAATGTTATTGAACGTGCTTATGGAGTTTTAAAAGCAAGATTCCCAATATTGGACAAGATGACTCCATATTCTATTGATGTCCAAAGAGATGTTGTTATTGCATGTTTTGCAGTTCATAATTTTATCAAAAAAGAGCGACTAAATGATGACTTGTTTAATCAATATGATTTGCCTCAAGTAATATTTGAGGAAGAAGGAGAACACGAACAAGTATTGGATGAAACAAACGGACCTAGCTGGACAACTGAAGACTCACAATTTATGAATAATATGCGTGAAGAAATTGCACTTCAGCTAATGCAAGGAAGAGGAAATGCTTGATAGTTTTATATTTTTGTTATTAGACATATGTTTTTAATGTTTGAACATTAGAATTTGAAATAATGTTAATTAACTATTTTATTTGAATTTTACATATGCTATGTTTAAATATAAATAAATTACACATATTCAGATACTAAAAACAAACAGTCTTAATCATTCAGTGTTCAGATCCAAAGACAACATATTAATTCTTCAGTTGTGTATTCAGATGTCTGAATCTTAATACACTTTTTTTATATTCAGACGTGTATTTAGATTCAGACCTCTTAATCTTAATAAAAACAAATGAGGCCTAGGAGGGAATCATAATTTGGATTGCTTTTGTCAAAAGAAACGATATCGTAATGACATTTTTAAACTCGATATCATCCATGAATTTTGACTCTAAACCAATTCAATTCACCTCCAATCTTCTTTAAATTTTGTACATTGCCTCATCAAGTTGAATGTTGAATTTTGCACCATGCCCACTTAAATTTTTTGTAGCATGGATCTTTTGAATATTATATATTATTGATAATTTTTTGTTAGCCAAAAATAATAAAGTGTTACATGACAAAGTGGCTGGTAATATTTTATTTTTTTGGTGCATTTCTGTAAATCTATCTCATAATATAGGTGTACATTTGATTGTTTGATCTGATTTTGTGTTATACGCTTTTGATTTTTTGGATTTCTATTTTCTTTAAAAAGAATGTTATTCAATAGAAACAAAAATAAATTTGATTTGGTTTGAATTTCACTTTCTATTCAGTATTTTTTTATGTTTAATTTTTTCAATTATTCGGTAGTGTCATAAGAAATAAAATGAATCGAATGTAATAGAATAGTTACATTCAAATAATTAAAGAATAAAGATTATAGAGAATGAGAAATAATAATATATTTAAAAAATTCTTAAACCATACTAATAAGTTTGATTATGTTTCATTATTTTGAATTTTGGAGCTCGCCTAGGGACGATTTTTGGAGGGTTTTCACTACAAATTGAAGGATAAGTAATCTCTACTTGATTTGGATGTTAGATCTTGTTTTCCCATGGTTTATAACACGTAGAAAAGGTAATTTAAAGGAGACATTTGGGTGATTTTTCTATGATTTTTGGAGAGTGAAAATTGGTGATTTGGGGGTTGATTTGAGGACTTGGATGAAAAACATATATTTGGACTTGTATTGGAATGAATGTTTGAGATTTGTGAGTTTTTCGGGTTCCGGGGTGCGGACCCGGGGTTGACTTTGTGTATTTGTATCAAGATCAAAAGTTTACTGTTTGGGGTTGTTTCATATAGCTTTTATTGTTGTTACATTATTTGGCTAGATTTGAGCATTTCGGAGGTTGATTCGCGCGAGAAGGGATTTCTAGAGTATTGATTTGGCTTGCTTGAGGTAAGTATCTCACTTAAAATTTGTTGAGGCACTAGTTATATGGGTTATTAGTGTTGGCTACGTGTTATAGGTGGTGCACATGTGAAGGGGGTTGAACCTATGTGCGCGCACCAGGGTATTATTCATGCCGGGATAGTGATTAGGCTATGATATGCCTTGAATTGGTTTCTAAGCTTCATGCTATCATGCTTATTATGTTGTAACCCCCTTTGTGAGATAATTGAATCATGTTATAGGTTTTTTGTTGGTTAATCTAGTGTTCAAACATGTAAATTGCTATTTGGTTGCGTAATCGTCTAATTTTGAACTATGGTAATACATTTTCCATATACCTTTGTCACTTATATCAGTCCATGAGTATTTACTTTAATATCCATTGTTTATATACATGTATTCTTGTATATGCTTTCTGTGTGATATGGACTTGGGTTGATAGCACATGAGTGGTCCATGCGGATCTGAGTTATGATAACACATGAGTTATCCGTGCGAGTGTTATACACGTGAGTTTTCTTTGCAGCATGTGGATAAGGATCCATCCCCCTAGGGTCACCTTCTCATGTTTCTCTCTTGACGGTATACACGTCGTATGAGAAAAACTGTTCATTGTTTGGTTTGGTTATTGCATTTCTTCTCTACTTGCAATTTCCTTGGATGTATACATATTTTATTCGCATATCGTCTCTATATGCTAGACCAGGAATGTATACATGCCTTGTCGCGCATATATTCTCTATATGCTAGATTGTTAATTAATACAGGGCTTGACACATTATCTCTTGTGCACCGACATGACTTTTATATATGTTTTCATAATTAGATGGTACTATTGTTGTGTACTTATGAAATTTATGAACTGAGCAGGTTATTAGCGAGTTTCATTGACAATTCTTGCTGATATTACCTCGTCGAGGTTAGGTATGATACTTGTTGAGTACTCGGTTGTACTCATACTGCACTCTGCACTTAATTGTGTAAATCCAGGTTTTAGATCGAGCCGAGACCCACTATAATTGTTGCTATGAGTTGCCGAGAGACAAGGTAGAGCTGCATTTCGACCACAATCTTTGGCGTCTCTTTTCATATCAATATTATTGTTTCATTCAGACAATATTTTCGTTCTGTATTCCAAACTTGTACTTCTATATTATAGCTCATGACTTTGTATTACTATTTTTGGGGGATTTAATGTATTGACATAGTTATTTATCTCAGTTGGCTTTGAATTTACTTTATTTCCGTTAATTCTGTTATCCTGTTCTGTTTTTGTTATGTTTGGTTTGCCTATCAAGTGAGTTAGTAGCCATTTCGATCGGTGGATGGTGTTAGGTCGTGACAATTACAGAGACGAAGCATGATAATTAATTTACTTATGCTAACATCCGACTCATATTTAAAAGTGGAATAGTATGTGCGTATGTATTTTATTCCAGCCACTATAAATAGAGGTGTGCATTATTCGGATTAAATCAAGAAACCAAATCGAACTAATATATTTGATTATTTGGTTTGATTTTTTTATTTGGATCTGGATGAAGGAATTAAAATTTTTAATGGTTTCGAACTCATATCAATTAACCATTTAGCATATAGAGAAGACATGCGCGACAAGGCATGTATACATTCCTGGTCTAGCATATAGAGAAGATATACGAATAAAACATGTATACATCCAAGGAAATTTCAAGTAGAGAAGAAATGCAATACCAAACCAAACAATGAACAATTTTTCTCATACGACGTGTACACCGTCAGGAGAGAAACCTGAAAAGGTGACCTTAGAGGGATGAATCCTTATCCACATGCTGCATAGACAGCTCACGTGCATAACACTCACGCAGACAACTCGTGTGTTATCATAACTCAGATCCGCACAGACCACTCATGTGCTATCAACCCAAGTCCATATCACACAGAAAGCATATACAAGAATACATGTACATAAATAATGGATATTAAAGTAAATACTCATGGACTGATATAAGTGACAAAGGTATATGTAAAGTGTATTACAATAGTTCAAAATTAGGCGATAACACAACCAAATAGCAATTTACATGTTTGAACACGAGATTAACCAACAAATAACCTATAACATGATTCAATTATCTCACAAAGAGGGTTACAACATAAGAAGTATGATAGCATGAAGCTTAACAACTAATTCAAGGCATATCATAGCCTAATCACTACTCCGAGCATGGATAATACCTCGGTGCACGCACATAGGTTCAACCCCCTTCACATGTGCGCCACCATAGCGCATAGACAACACTAATAACCTAGGTAACTAGTGCCTCAACCAGTTTTAGGTAAGATACTTACCTCAAACAAGCCAAATCAATACTCTAGAAATCCCTACTCGTGCGAATCAACCTCTAAATGGCTCGAATCTCGCCAAAATAATGTAATAACATCAATAAAAGCCATATGAAACAACCCCAAACAATAAAGTTTTGATCTTGATACAAATAAACAAAGTCAACCAAAAAGTCAACCCCGGTCCGCACCCCAAAACCCGAAAAACTCATAAATCTCAAAAACCCATTCCAATACGAGTCCAAATATATGTGTTTCAAAAAACGAGCGGCTAAGGTGAGTTTCTTCTACTGAATGAATAGTAATTCCGTCACTATTCCTCGGCCATAATTCCGACATCCGGCAAGGTAAGATTTCAAGATTGGTCCCAAAAGAATAACCTTCTCATTCCAAACAATCTCCTTTTGTTTTTATCCTAAATTTTATATCAATACGCAACAGAACTTAAAATTAGTTTTCACATTACTGTAGCATCGAGTTTCTTCAGCAAAACTGTATCGTTACTCTTCTTTGTAACGTGAAGGTTTCTGCTCTTCTTTCAATTCTATGTTGTGTTGAAGAACTATTTCAAATCTTTACCCAATAGTTACAGATCTAATTTTTAAAACCCGGAGTTACTGTAGCTTCGACATTTCCCATAAATTCTACTCTTCATATGAATTCTTAACGGTCAAAATCTTCAAACTTTGGCGACCTGATCGCACAAGCCTTCTATGGCCTCATCGCCAGGTGAACAACCCACTATTGGGGCTGGGTTACCTTCTCACGTGCCAACTCCCATCACTACGGATCATGTAACCCGCTCAAAACATTTGGACTACGCTGTTGTGCTAAAACCAATGCTATCAACAACGCAATACCAAAAACTTCCTCCAATATTGAACCAATCCCTATCAGACGTCCAACTTTCTTGCAAGGGCAACCTTTGGTAAAGTTTTCTGAATCTGAAGTAGATCGCATGAATCACATCGAAGGATTACATTGGGCAGTCGTATGTAAATTCTCATATGACTGGCCAGAAATGCAAGAATTACGCAAAATTCTTCCTTTGCAGTGCGAGATCAAAGTGGAATGCAATATTGGCTTTTTTCGAGATAGGCACATTTTGATAAGGCTCACACTTTGGCAGGATTATATCGAGTTCTCGTCGAAAGGTGTACATTTTGTGAGGGACAAGTTTGGACAGGAATACCAACTGAGAACCTTGATATATGATTCAAGATTTACAGCTGGCGAGGGAACATCGAAGGTAATGGCATGGATCTCTTTTCCAAATTTATTGCCTACATACTTTGTAATGGAATGCCTATTTTCATTGGCCTGTGCTGTTTGTAAGCCTCTTCACCTAGATGTGGCAACAATTAACAAAACAAGGCCAAGTTGTGCAAAAGCCAAGGTATTAGTAGATCTTATGGCTGACTTGCCCAAGAAAATTCATATGGATATCGAGCATGATGTCACAAAAGAGATAAGAATAGAGTGGGTGACTGTTAGATATGATTATCTCCCTAAATACTGTAAAAAGTGTAAACTACAAGGGCATGACATGCTAGAATGTTGGAGGATTCACCCTGAAATCATGGCAAATAAAAATAAACAGCAGGCTGTCACTAATGAAACAATAACGGATAGGAATATTGATAAAGGAAAGGATAATGCTCCTCTAATGATCCTTTCAAGTGGCAAGGTTGTTGGAAATGTTGGTGCACAATGGAAGGAAGTGAGAGATAATAGGAGACTTATTAAGGGTAAACAAACTGAAGGCTATGGTACAACTGGGAATAAAGTGATTGCAGATGATAAGGATACTGGAAAACAATAACAAACAGCTAATAAATATGATGTATTGGTAGTGAAAGAGGAGGAGACTAATCAGACTAACCAACTGGCCTTAGTGAATGAAACTCCAGTACAAATAAATCCCAATCAAACTGTTGCTCTTACTGGGAAATTGAATGCAGATGCATGAGCATTTAATCCAATCACTACTGATGTAGCAGTCTCTGAGAATGGTAACCTTGATAAGACTACTGTGAATGGGAATGAAGCTCAGTTGAAGGCTGACCAAAGAAGAACTAAAGAAAGTCCTGCACAAGGGGTGAAACATGTGCTTACTGTAGCACCAGCAGGACAAACTGAATCAACAGTTCAATGGGCTAATATGACTTTTATCCAAACTAAATCAGGACCAAACAATGAGGACACTACCAATAATGTCAGTATAAAGCAACAGGTAGCATATTTGCATCAACTGGTCACCACAAATCAATCCTACCAAGAAGTTCCTTCACAATCATTAGCTACTGGGAATAGTCAGTTAGGTCATTTGTGGGATTCTCAAAATGAAAATGAGAATGAATCAGAAGAGGAAGGAGAATATCATTCTGAGGAAGATCATATAAATACAGATGATATTCGATCATGTGGAGAAGAAATAGTTGATGTAGTGCAAGTTGTAGCTGAAGATGATCAAAATTCTGCAGAGAAATCAGTGCAAAAACAGGCGGAAAAGGAAGTTATTCATATCATGGATCCAAATCAGAAACCTAGCCCAGACCCCCCAGGTAAACCATTTCCTAACATAATTACAACTACACCAGAAAACAACCTCAACATCAATCCCATTATGCCAAAACCAGTTACACCTACCTCTACCCTACAAGACAAAAAAGTTACCAATCTAACAGAAGCTCCCGCTTCTTCAATAGCTCCAGAAAACCAAAAAACCTCAAAAGGACACGCTGAAATGGTTCCTAAAACTGTGAATTCTCTACTTACCAAGCAAAACAAGAATGTTGAAGAGGAGAATAAAGAAGATACTCATGGTCAAGATATGGATGAGGAATCTACTGCACAAAACTTCAGGCACATAGCAAGACAAGGTGACTTATCTCCCAGAGTTATGGATAAAGTGAAATCAGCAGGCAAAGGAAAAAAGAAGCAGCAAAAGGAAAACACAAGTGTTCCAGGTACTGGTGTTCAAACAAGGAGGGCAGGTTCTAAATCAATTGTTTAAAATGAATGCTATCATCTAGAATATTAGATCTGTGAACACACAACAAGATTTTGAAAGACTTGTTACAATGCATAGACAGTACCATTTCAGATTTGTCGGACTAATGGAACCAAAGCAACAGTCGAGAACACTTGAAAGATATAGGAGCAGACTTGGGCTTGCACTGGCATTTGTCAACATTTCTAATAAAATATGGGCTTTCATAGATGATGATTTTGAGGTTATGATGTTATTTGACATGCAACAGCAACTCACTTTGAGATTAACTGACACCAATACCCAACAAGAATTTATCCTTACCCTAGTATATGCCAAATGTGATCATATCGAGCGTATAGAACTATGGGATACTCTCTACGCTTTGGCAAGTGACATGACTACTCCATGGATTGTTGGTGGGGATTTCAATGTAATATGGGATGAAGAGGAGAAGTTTGGTGGTCTTCCAGTACCCATAAATGAAGTGGACGATTTTAGGGATTGTATAAATTCATGCAACCTCAACGATCTTGGATTCAAAGGAAGTATATTCACTTGTTGGAATGGTAGGGCTGAAGAGGACTGCAGTTTTAAAAGACTGGATCGTGTATTAGGCAATATAGGACTACAACAACTTTTACCAAGTGTGGAGGTTACTCACTTATCAAAAATAGGCTCAGATCACTGCCCACTCTTGATTAAATGTGATCCAAATCTAATAACTGCCAAAAAGCAATTTCGATTCTTGAATTTTTGGACTGATCACAACACCTTCCAAGAAGTTGTGAAAGAAAATTGGGTGGACGACCTAGCTGCAAACTCTCAGGTTACCTCTTTCACAATTTTCAACAACAAATTGAAGAAACTGAAAAAGGTCTTATCAAGATGGAGTAAGGATATATATGGGGATATTTTTCAAAAAGTTGCAAGTCTAGAAGAGGTTGTTCTGGTACATGAAGCTCAGTTCGAACTTAGTCCCACAAGTATGAATAGGGAGAGGCTCAATAAGGTGAAAGCAAAACTTACTAGATACCTAGCCTTAGAAGAGCAATTCTGGAGACAAAAGACAGGCATGGCATGGTTTAAGGATGGAGATCGCAATACGAAGTTCTTTCATGCACATGTAAATAGGAGAAGAAAAATCCTGCAATTAAAAAGAATTCAAGATAGTGCTGGCAATTGGATAGAAGGAAATGATCAGATGGCTGAAGAAGCAATCAGTTTCTTTAAGTCGCAATTTCATGAAGGTGTTGTACCAACCTCATTTAGGATCATAGATCATGTCCCTAACATGATTTAGTTGGAGAAAAACCAAGAACTACTGAAACAACCTACCAAAGAAGAAGTCAAACAGGCTGTCTTTGGCTTAAATGCAGACAATGCTGGGGGTCCTGATGGCTTCACAGGTAAATTCTTTCAATAGAGCTGGAGCATTCTGGGAGATGATGTCCTTGCTATGACAAAAGAATTCTTCAATAGCAAGGATTTGCCCAAGTACATCACTCATACCAACTTAGTGCTGCTACCAAAAAAGAAGGATGTGATTACTTTCTCAGATTTGTGACCAATAAGCCTTGGGAATTTTATTAATAAGGTGTTCTCGAGAGTCATTCATGAAAGAATTGCACCCTTACAACCTTCACTAATTTCTGATGAGCAAGCAGGATTCATCAAGGGTAGGAGCATCGTTGAAAATATTTTATTGACTAATGAAATAATAACTGATATAAGACTGAGGACCAAAGCAGTACCAAATGTTGTACTCAAATTGGACATGACAAAAGCCTATGACAGACTGTCTTGGCTATTCATGACTAAGGTTTTGAGGAAAATGGGCTTCGAGGAAAGAATAATTGGAATCGTGTTTAGAATTGTCTCCAACAATTGGTATTCTATATTAATGAATGAACAACCTTATGGATTTTTTAAATCAACAAGAGGAGTCAAGCAAGGTGATCCGCTATCACCTACTCTATTCATCCTATCTGCTGAAGCTTTATCAAGAGCCCTCAATTCATTACATCAGAACTTGTATTTCTGTGATTTTGGGTTATCAAAATGGAGCCCCAAAATCAATCATCTTTCCTACGCAGATGACAGAATCATATTCTCATCTTTTGATGCTATGTCATTAAAGTTGATTATGGAAGTGCTGAGGGCATATGAGACTACCTCTGGACAGTTAATCAACAAGGCAAAATCTGCAGTATACCTACATCATTTAACAAATGTGGACATCATAGACAAAGTGCAGAGCATAACAAGTATTAACAGGTAGGAGTTCCCATTCAGATACCTTGGTTGTCCAATATTCTACGCCAGGAGGAAGATGGAATATTATCATGATCTGATGAAAAAGGTACTAGATAAGATCCAATCATGGCAAGGAAAAATCTTATCAATTGGAGGTCGGGCAGTCTTAATTAACCATGTGCTTCAAGGAATGCCTATTCATCTGCTTTCAGCAGTAAATCCACCAGCTTCTGTCATAAATAAACTCTACAAAATGATTGCTCAGTTTTTTTGGAGTAATTCTATAGGAGGAAAGGCAAGACATTGGGCATCTTGGGACTCATTGTGTCTACCTAAAGAGGAAGGAGGGGTTGGATTTCGTTCATTACATGATATGCCAAGGGCATTATTTTGTAAGTTATGGTGGAATTTTAGAACTAAACCAACACTTTGGAGTTCTTTCATGTGCCAAAAATATTGCAAAAAGCTGAATGCAATTGTAGTACCATGGAGAAAAGGTTCCCATGTTTGGAGGAAAATGCTTGACTGTAGGGAGGCAATTGAACACCAAATCATTTGGCAACCAAGAATGGGGTCATCTCTTTTTTGGTTCGACAATTGGACAGAGATGGGTGGATTGTATTTCACAACACCACCTAAGTTCTACTATGATGAGTCAATCCATAATGTTCATGATGTGATGTTGGAAGGTACATGGAATGAAACAAGATTAATGCAGATATTGCCACACGACATAGCCAGTCACATCATTGCTAATATCAAACCTACAGCTCTCTCAGATGAATTAGATAAACCTTTTTGGATGATGGAATCAAAAGGTTACTTCACTGTCAAATCTACTTGGGATTATGTCAGGAGAATGAGGGATCAAAATGCAGTATTCACAAATATTTGGGTCAAGGGCTTGCCTTTCAAAATTGTATTTTTTATGTGGAAAGTTTGGAAAGGAAGAATACCACTGGATGATTTTTTCAAGAGGTTGGGATATTGTTTACCCTCAAGATGTTGGTGCTGTAGTGAACCAGCCAAGGAAACTATGTCACATGTGTTTTTCAAATCCTTTGCAGCACATACAGTGTGTTACTACTTCATGGAAAATGCTGGAATTTTCATAATGGAATGTCATTGCAGCAGGCAATAGCAAAATGTTGGACTGTACAAGTTGTTCCACGACTCAAGCCTATATTCCAAGCTTTACCATCGATAATTTTGTGGGAATTGTGGAAGAGAAGAAACTGCCAAAAACATGGTGAAATGGTCAGTATTAGTAGGATAATATACCATATTTCCACATCCCTTCAATCACTTGTTAAAATCAGAAAACCAAGCATTCAACAAGTCCCTCATAAATGGCCTGATCTTCTGAAAATGATGGAACAATATATGCCTTCTCTAAAAGTAACTAGGGTACTTTGGGAGTTACCTTAACAAGATTGGATAAAGGTGAATACTGACGGGGCATCGAGGGGAAATCCGGGTAGAAGCTCCATTGGTTTTGTCCTACGGGATAGTAAAGGAGATGTGAGATATGCAAGGGGGAAAGAAATTAAGGAGGGAACAAATATGGAAGCAGAAACCATTGCTATACTTGAGGCAATACAAACCTGTGTGCAACAAGGATATGCCAATATCCACATCCAAACAGATTCATTGTTTCTGAAGAACGTGATAGATGGTACATGGGATCCACCTTGGGCAATAGAGGCATATGTTCAGGAGATTAAACAGTTTATGGCAAGATGTAATTGTAGGGTGTCACATATCATGCGAGAAGGAAACAAATTGGCTGACTTCCTAGCAAACCATGCACTCGACCATGAGGATCATGAGGCTCACAACTTTCAGCAACTGGAGATACAAGAAAAGAGGATTGTTAATAGTAATAAACTTCAATGTCCTTACCTACGTATAAGAGTAGCCAGAAATGGATAAGGGTGTATATGCTTTACAGAAGCATGAGGAAAAGATCAACGAGGGATGGACAAGGAGAAATGCATCGGGGGAGATTGTGTCACATCCAGTTGGACGAGAACAACATATTCTTTTATGCTAACTCTTTATTCTTTTTTGCAGGGAACTATACTATAGCTATTCATTACCTATTGTCGATCCTTCAAATGGTGGTATTAGTACATTGTACTCAATCCATTGAAGGGAATATGTGGGTAGGCTCTAGCATAGCAATCAGGAGAACAAGGACTAAGGCTGATACACATATTTTCTGCAATAAAGACCATATGCTTCAACAAAGATTTAGCAGTACAATGAAAGTAATAAGGTTTAATACCACTGTGATGCACCACCTTTTGATACAATGTTTACCACACTCTCTTCTGGGACTATTAGAGACAAGATCTGCTAAAGTCCAACAACACACCAATTATCGAGCACAACAAGAATGGCTAAATGCATTGGATACCCAATCAGCTTGCTGGAGAAGGAATGAATTCGAGGAAAAGCTGGGCATACAACATGGGCCAACACAGTTTTTTAATTGTTTAATGCACGCCTGTTGCATTGGAAATGTAAGAAAGTGAACAAATAGCTACACATCGAAAGGAAGATACACATTTCTAAGGACATCACAAAAAGAATGCAAGTCACACTTTCTTCAGGAAAGATTGCCAAAAAATGGTCGGCAATATAGGAAAATTCGATACAAGGAGAATATAGTGAGCTGTACAATGAAGATACATAAGGCATCAAGATGTGTAATCCAAATGAATTTTGAGGAAGCTAACATGGCCGCACACAAAAAAGGACAAAAATCTGAGGACTTCACTTGGGATCGAAAGCCATGTTGCACTGAACATATTCATATCATTGGCTACTTTGGGCAACAACAAACCAAGGAAAAGGTGCATCTTCAAAGTAAAGAAGTTGAAAGAAATCATACATCGACAAGAAATGAAGAATTTTGAAGATTTTTTGAAGACAGTTAAAGAGGATTTCAACGAAGTTCTATTTGAAGAAATTACAATTTTGATAAATGAGGGGCAACAATCTAATTTCTATATCGTGTTAGTTTATAATTTTATAAGCATTATCAATTGTAATAACGTCATAGAGTGTGTTATAAACTCTATGGCGATCATAGTATACTTGCTACTTTCAAGTTCATACTTTTTACATGCTTGCTAGAAGATTAGATTATTTTACCTTCAATAGGAATAGTAAGGTAAGGTTCATGCCCCCTTACACACACTCTTCCATTGTAGTTTGTTGTTTCTTTATTAATACAAAACTAGCCGTAGGCACTTGCCTAACGATTTGCCAAAAAAAAAATATATGTGTTTCATCCAAGTCCAACCTCAAATCAACCCCCAAATAACCAATTTTCACTCTCCAAAAATCATAGAAAACTCGCCCAAATTTCTCCTTTAAATTACCTTATCTAGGTGTAATAAACCATGGGGAAACAAGATCTAACATTCAAATCAAGTAGAGATTTTTACCCTTCAATTTGTAGTGAAAAATAATCCAAAAATTGCCCCTAGGCGAGCTCCAAAATTCCACATAATTAAACATAATCAAAACCCTCGAAAAGTATATTCTTCCAGTAGTTCTGTATTTGTGGACAAAAATCCTGCTTCTGTGGTACTACATCTATGGAAATATTATCGCAAATGCGGGAATCACTTAACTCCCGACAACCCACTTCTACGGACCTCCCATCGCTTCTGCGAAAGGAACTCCGCTTCTTCGCAGGTGCATCTACGCTCCCAAGTCTTCCAAATAATATGAAAATGATCTGGAACTCATCGAAAACATACCTGAGACCCCCGGGACCCCGTCGAAAAGCACCAACCAGTCCCAAAACATAACACGCACCTACTCGAGTCCTCAAATCACACAAAATAATATCAAAATTACAAATCGCACCTCAATTCAATTCTAAAGAATTAATCAACTTCCAACTTTCCAAAACTCATGCCGAAACACATCTAACCAACTTGAAATGACATCAAATTTTGCACACAAGTCCTAAATGGCATAACGAAATTATTCCAACTTCCGGAACAATAATCCAAACCTGATATTATTAAAGTCAACTTCTGGTCAAACCTATAAACCTTTTGAATCTTCAAGTTTCCAACTTTTGCCAAATAGAACAAAATTAACCTAGGAACATCCGAATCCAAATCCGGACATATGCCTAAGTCCAAAATCACCATACGAACCTATTGGAACCATCAATAAAATCATTCCACGTTTTCCTAGGCAAAAGTCAAACCTTGGTTAAATCTTACAACTTAAGATTCTAATCTTGGAACTAATTATTCCAACTTACTCCAAAACCTCCCGAATCTAAGTCAAACATCCCTGCAAGCCACATAACGATAAATACACATATGTAAAGCATCAAACAGGAGAAACACGTCTAAAATACTCAAAAAAACTGGTCGCGTCGTTACATTCTCCCTATCTTGAACAAACGTTCGTCCTTAAATGAGTTTAGAGCCATACCTGAAATACCCAAAAGGTGAGGATATCTGCTCCACATATCATGCCCGGTCTCCAAGGTTGCCTTCTCGACTAGGTGAACCCTCCATTGAACCTTCACTGAATCAATAATCTTCTACCTCAGCTTTCGAACTAGCTGTCCAAAATGGCTGTTGTCTCCTCAATATAAGTTTAATTCTTATACAACTACACCGACCTAAAATATAATGCATGTGACGGATCCTCATAGTACTTCCAGAGTGCGAAAATATGAAATACTGGATGAACGCTCGATAAAATAGGTGGCAAGGCAAGTCTGTAAGAAACCTTACCAACCCTTTCCAAGACCTCAAATAGATCAATATACCGAGGGCTCAGCTAACCCTACTTCTCGAACCTCATCACACTCTTCATGGGCGAAGATCTGAGTAAAACCTTCTCATCCACCATGTATTTTGCATCATGAGCCTTCCTATTAGCATAACTCTTCTTCCTAGACTGTGCTATACGAAGATGCTCATGAATTTATTTTCACCTTCTCTAAACTGACCATCCGGACAATGATATCGCCTTCCATATAAGGTCTTGTACAGACTGATAGCTGTTGTATATGCAAACTCTACTAACGATAAAATATGATCTGACTAATCCTCAAAATTAATGCCATAGACTCGCAACATATCTTCTAAGATCTGAATAGTATGCTTGGATTGCCCATCCGTCTGAGGATGGAATGTTGTACTCAACTCGACCTATGTGCCCAACTCACATTACACTACTCTCCAAAAATGCGATGAACTGAATGCCTCAATCTAAGATAATAGACATGGGAACACCATGAAGGTGAACAATCTCTCTAAGATAAATTCGAGCCAACTGCTATGAAGTGTAGGTAGTGATGACTAGAATGAAGTGTGCAGACTTGGTCAGTCTTTCCACAATGACCCACACAACATCAAATCTCCTCCTGGTCCATGGCAGCCCAACTATAAAATGTATAGTGATATGCCCCCACTTCTACTCCGTTGTATCTAATCTCTGAAGCAAACCACCCCGTCTCGGGTGCTCATACTTCACCTGGTGACTGCTTAAACACCATGCAACATACTCCATAATATCTTTCTTCGTCCTCCACCACGAATAATGCTGCCTCAAATTCTGGTACATTTTTGCAGCACGTGGATGAATGGAATACCGCAAACTATGGGCCTCCTCAAGAATTAACTCTCTCAAACCATCTAATTAGGAACACAAATCTGACCCTGAAGCCTCAATACCCCTTCATCACCAATAGTCATCTCCTTAGCATCACCGTTCCACACCATTTTCTTAGGACAAGCAAGTGGGGATCATCATAATGACGTGCCTTGATGTTGTCAAACAAGGACAACCGTAATACAACACAATCAAGAACCTCGCTAGGCTCCAAAATATCGAACCTCACAAAGTTGTTGGCCAATTCCTAAACATACAAAGCTCACGGTCTCTCCCCAGCTGGAGTGAAAGCTAGGCTCTCCAATCTGCCTTCATATTCAAAGTGTCGGCCACCACATTGGCCTTACCCGGATGATAAAGAATGGTGATATCATAGTCCTTCAGTATCTTTAACCACCTCTACTGCCTCAAGTTTAATTCCTTTTGCTTGAATATATGTTAGAGACTCCAGTGATCCAAGAACACCTTGCAAGACATGCCATAAAGATAATGCCTCCAAATCTTGAGCACGTGAACAATGGATACTAACTCTAAATCGTGCACTAGGTTGTTCTTCTCACAGGGATTCAACTGACGTGAAGCATAAGCAATCACCCTACTCATGAAGCATCATAATAGACTATACAAAAACCCAATCCCAAAGGCAAAACCAGAACTAGAGTTGTAGGCAAGACAATCTTGAGATTCTGAAAGCTCTCCTCACACTCATCTAACCACATCAATGGAGCACCTTTTTGAGTCAACCTAGTCAGTAGAGCTACGATGTATGAAAACCCCTCCACAAAACGACGATAATACCTAGCCAACCCTAGAATATTCTGGATATCTGTAGCGGTAGAAGGTTAGGGCCAACCCTGCATGCCTCAATCTTCTTAGGATCTAGCTTAATCCCTCCCGCTGGATTCCACTTGATCCAAGAAGGCCACCGAGTCTACCCAAAACTTGAACTTAGAGAATTTAGCATATAATATTTTCTCCCTCGAAGTCTGGAGCATGATCCTTAAATGTTGCTCATGCTCCTCCTTGCTTCGATGATACACCACATATCATAAATGAAGACAATGACGAAAAAATCCTATAAAGCTAAAATACATTGTTCATCAAGTGTATAAAAGTTATTGGTATATTGGTCAGCCCAAACGACAACACCAAGAACTCATAATGCCCATAACGAGTCCTGAAAGCCGTCTTAGGCATATCTAAAGCCCTGATCTTTGACTGATGGTATACCGATCTCAAGTCAATCTTCAAGAATACACTAGAACCTTGAAGTT